TCAGGGTGCTGAGCAGCTGATCCCCTGAGAAGGTGGAAAAGGAGGGGAAGCAGCAGCTCTGGGGAATTTGGAAGTGCTGAGATGAGCAGATCTCCTTGCTCTTCTTCCAAACACTCATCACCAAGTCTTCAAACATCAGAACTGCCATGCTCTCCTTTCTCCATGACCTGGGCTTGTGGTGGAGACGCTGCTCCCTGTCTGAGGGACCAGAGAACCTCCTCATCCCTGCCATCTCTGTGTCCATCCCACTGTTCTTTCTCTTGGGACTGTCCCTGCACTGTCAACGTTTGTGTGTTGTGAAAGCCAGGGGAGGAGTCTCGCTGCCTGTGGCAGAAAGATAATGCAGTGAAGTGTTAAACAGCCAAACAGTCCTGGCCTGGGACTGTCACAGCGCTCATGAACTGGGCAAGGGCCAAGGGAGAGGGCAAGCCTGCCTGGTGCCAGCTGGCACTGCCGGGGTGGAGGTTGGTCCCAGCGAGTTTGGCAGCCAGATGCCCTTGGCTGAGGCACTCTCAGCTGAACAGGGCAGCGACTCGGCTGATCCTGCCACGTCCTGCACGGGGAGCCAGCAGACTTTGCACGCCCAAAGGTCCCAAAGGCTGCCCGTCCCCCAGTTCTCCGGGGAGATCCTCTCCAGAGGAGCAGGGCAAAGCTCAGTTTCTCCCTCAGAGCAAGCAGAAGTACGTCTGGCCAAAGCACTGGGACAGAGCTGCAATCCCAGCATGTGCCCGGGAGGGAGCTGGGACTGGCTGTGGGAGGGGGCCAGCACCAGGGCAGGGGGATGTAGGAGGATGTAACATGTCCCATCCTCTTCCATCAGGCAGAGAGTGCCAGGACCCAAGCAGTGGCTCTGACAGTGACAATCCAGGCCATGGATCAGGATAGCCAGGTGGGCAGACACACACACCTAATATTTGACCCTTCTCTGGCCCAAATAAAGAACCACAGGGACACCTCCCTTCTGGGGCCTCCTCCACACCAGGAAGGAGGCATGAGGGGTGATTTGTCCTGTCTGTTGTGGGGTCCCAGGTGAGGACATTTCCCCAGCACTGCGTTCCCCAGGGCATTTGGAAGGGGCTGGGGCATTTGCTGCCATCCTTCCCTGGCCCTGCAGCCCCTTACTTGCCCTGCATGGGCATTGATCTCGCTCTCACACAGGTCTCTGGAGCAGAACATCTCAGTGGTGTGGACGCTGGCCCGGTGCTTCACTCAGACCTGAGCTCCATGTCTGGCTGAAGGTCCTGCGTTGTTCACAGGACCAGAGCTGAGCCACGAGCCGCAGCGCTGGGGAGCCTTGGAAGTGAGACCAAACCAGCCACTCTGGGTGGGAGGGGTGGTGCTAACGGCATCTTGGAAGCTTCTGAATTTCAGTGGTGTTTGCTGTTATCTCCTATCTGGGCTCAATGCCTTTTATTGCCAGGCTCAGCAGATATGGGGCAAATTCCACCTCTGGATCGTGCGGCTGCAGAAAGTCACTCCCAGCCCTGCAGGAGTGACTGTTCCCTGCAGGAATGACCTGGTGGGGGTGAAAGACTTGATTTTGGGAATAAAGAGAATGGAACAGGGTATCTCTCCTCCTTCAGCACAACACATTCTGCTAGAAGGACTCCAGTCAGTGGTGGGGGGAACTGAATCAGGTCCTTGAGAACTCTGGCCTCAGGGGAAGCTCTGGAGCTGAGGCAGTGCCTGGCTCCTGGAGCTGGGAGGAACTGGGAGGACTCCACAGTCCCATCACTGCAGTAGATTTCTCTGGGTTTCTCTGGGGACCACAGAGGATGCAGACTGGATCAGCAGGGGCTTTCAGCGCTTCACAGGGGCCAGCAGCAAGGGGAGAACTGCAGGAACAATCATGGTAATTCCTGGGCTCTTTATGTGTAATCCAATAAATACTCAATATTAAAGCCATGGGCTTGCTGCTTCTAATTCTTCAGCTTCTCCAGCGCGGGTGCAGCCTCACAGCCCCCTTGCACAAGGCCACATCCATCTGTCCAGGGCCACCACCTCACCTCTGCTCTCAGGGACACAAGGGGTGCTGTGGAGGAGCCCTGGGGTGCTCAACACCCGGAACCCAGGGCTGTGGGGAAGCCTCGTAACCTCAGCTTTGATTTCTCACAAGCTCCAGGGTGAAATTCTACCTCAACCCCAGATGCTTGGCTCTGCTGTGGAAGAGGGAGGGAGCCTGAATCTGCCTGGCCCTGGCAGTTGGGGTGTTTTTGGAGCAGGCATCTGGCCTTCGTGCCTCCCACCATCTCGTCTTTCAGGCAGGCTCAGTCCTGGGTGGCTGTTGCGGGGTCCAGAGCTTGAGGCCAAGAGCTGGGGCTGCCATGAAGGTGTTCCCTCCATTGCACTTGGTTTTAGTGCTGCTGGTTTTGTCTGCTGAGCCCCAGGGAAGGGAAGGGTCCTGCTCGAGAGGAGCAAAAGCATGAACACAGGGCTAATTCTCAGAGTCATCAGTTGTCCATCCAGGTATCGGCAGAAGACACAGAGGACAGCGTCTGGGAGCTTAGCCCCGAGCAAGGCTTGGCTGGAGCTCAGCTCTGAGATGTGCCCTGTGGACACACAGCCTGACCTGGTCCCTCTGGGAGAGGCTCAGCGCCCACAGGCACGTCTCTACGGGTAAAACAGGTCTTTCTGGCATCTCCCAAAAGTGGTTTCACACATGCAGGTCCACAGTGGGAGGACGAACATGTTGGAACAAGAACTCCTTGAGTGCCACTTCCCATAGGGGGCTGCCCAGGACCCACAGGGGCATCGGTCACCCTTGAGGGGATATGGGCAGCCAAGGACGAGAGAGGCTGAGATCCAGCGCAAGAGGATTTCTTTCAGCTGATCTAGGAAGCCCTAATCTGAGTCCTGCTGGATAACCTTGGGCAGCCGTTCGGCCTCTCTGGCCTTCGAGGTTCCTCCCTCCAAAACAGGGCTGATAATCCCCTCCTGAGTGAAACGCCTAAAGACCTGCAGATACGGGAACTGCCACCAAGACTTTCAGTGACCTGGGTCTTCAAGGACAGTGGGTTAAACTATTTCTCAATTGACATATTCTACAATTTTTCTGTCCCCTTTAAGAAACTGGAGCCATCCACTCCCTGTCATCCTGCACAGACCCTTGATTTCTCACAAGCTCCAGGGTGAAATTCTACCTCAACCCCAGATGCTTGGCTCTGCTGTGGAAGAGGGAGGGAGCCTGAATCTGCCTGGCCCTGGCAGTTGGGGTGTTTTTGGAGCAGGCATCTGGCCTTCGTGCCTCCCACCATCTCGTCTTTCAGGCAGGCTCAGTCCTGGGTGGCTGTTGCGGGGTCCAGAGCTTGAGGCCAAGAGCTGGGGCTGCCATGAAGGTGTTCCCTCCATTGCACTTGGTTTTAGTGCTGCTGGTTTTGTCTGCTGAGCCCCAGGGAAGGGAAGGGTCCTGCTCGAGAGGAGCAAAAGCATGAACACAGGGCTAATTCTCAGAGTCATCAGTTGTCCATCCAGGTATCGGCAGAAGACACAGAGGACAGCGTCTGGGAGCTTAGCCCCGAGCAAGGCTTGGCTGGAGCTCAGCTCTGAGATGTGCCCTGTGGACACACAGCCTGACCTGGTCCCTCTGGGAGAGGCTCAGCGCCCACAGGCACGTCTCTACGGGTAAAACAGGTCTTTCTGGCATCTCCCAAAAGTGGTTTCACACATGCAGGTCCACAGTGGGAGGACGAACATGTTGGAACAAGAACTCCTTGAGTGCCACTTCCCATAGGGGGCTGCCCAGGACCCACAGGGGCATCGGTCACCCTTGAGGGGATATGGGCAGCCAAGGACGAGAGAGGCTGAGATCCAGCGCAAGAGGATTTCTTTCAGCTGATCTAGGAAGCCCTAATCTGAGTCCTGCTGGATAACCTTGGGCAGCCGTTCGGCCTCTCTGGCCTTCGAGGTTCCTCCCTCCAAAACAGGGCTGATAATCCCCTCCTGAGTGAAACGCCTAAAGACCTGCAGATACGGGAACTGCCACCAAGACTTTCAGTGACCTGGGTCTTCAAGGACAGTGGGTTAAACTATTTCTCAATTGACATATTCTACAATTTTTCTGTCCCCTTTAAGAAACTGGAGCCATCCACTCCCTGTCATCCTGCACAGACCCCTGAAGAAGGCAGAGAGGTGCTGTCAGACACAGGGGAATTACCACGGGTTTATTTTGGAGATTAAAAACTCCAGCCCTCTACTCTGCTCTGGTGAGACCCCACCTGGAGTACTGTGTCCAGCTTTGGAGGACAGGCTGAGAGAGTTGGGGGGGTTCAGCCTGGAGAAGCGAAGGCTCCAGGGAGACCTTATGGTGGCCTTCAGGCATCTGAAGGAGGCTCCAAGAAAGCTGGAGAGCGACTTTTTACAAGGGCATGTAGTGTCAGAACGAGGAGTAATGGCTTCAGACTGGAAGAAGGGAGATTAGCTTTCAAGAAGTTTTTCACTGTGAGGTTGGCGAAACTTCCAGCTTTGGAGGACAGGCTGAGAGAGTTGGGGGGGTTCAGCCTGGAGAAGCGAAGGCTCCAGGGAGACCTTATGGTGGCCTTCAGGCATCTGAAGGAGGCTCCAAGAAAGCTGGAGAGCGACTTTTTACAAGGGCATGTAGTGTCAGAACGAGGAGTAATGGCTTCAGACTGGAAGAAGGGAGATTAGCTTTCAAGAAGTTTTTCACTGTGAGGTTGGCGAAACTCTGGCAGAGGTTGCCCAGAGAAGCTGTGGCTGCCCCATCCCTGGAGGGGTTCAAGGCTAGGTTGAGATGGGGCTTGGAGCAACCTGGTCTGGTGGGAGGTGTCCCTGCCCAGGGCAGGGGGTGGCACTGGATGGGCTTTAAGGTCCCTTCCAACCCGAATTTATTCCATGAAAGGGGCCGCACTGAGCCGAGCAGGACCCAGCTGAGACAAGCTGAACCCACTCCATTCCATCCCAAGGGGACAGAGCCGAGCCCAGCCCGGGCGGGCGGAGCGGGGGCGGTGCGGGAGGCGGTGCGGGACCAGCCCCGGAGGAACGGGGGCCGCCCCCTCCGCTGGGCCCAGCGCAGCGCAGCATGTTGCGGGCGGCGGTGAGCGTTTCCCGGCTCTGCCGCGGCCCGGCCCGGCTCGGTGCGCCCTTCTCGGCCGCCGCTTCCCCCATCCCGGCGCCCAACCCGCGCCCCGACATCGCCTGCAACAAGGTAGGGCCGCGGCGGGGACCGGAGCCGGCCCGGGGGGTTGGGGGGGGCAGCGGTGGCTTCCCCCCGGGCGGGTTGGGCTGGGACGGGGAAGGGGGGGACGGGGCTCCCCGGCTTGGCCGCGCTGGGGTGCGAGCCCGGTGCGGCGCTGGGGACACCCCTGGTTTAACGCTGACGGGGGGCAAGCGCTGGAGCAGCCGGAGGTTTGGGCCCAAAGCTTTGCGTTTCAGGAAAATCTTGTTGGAAAAAAAAAAAAATAAGCAACTCCGGGCTGGTGCAGCGGGGGTGGGGCAGAAGCGGGGGGGGGGGCCCTGGGTTTTATCACTGTCCCCGCAGCCATCGGCACAGCCAGCCTAAGGAGAAGGGGAAGGGAAGGGGAGGGGAAGGTTCCTGGCTTGATGGTGGGTCTCTGCGTGGATGAGACCCCTGCTCCTTGCTCGCCACCCTGGGGGAAACCGGGGTGAGGTGCTGGTGGGGGGTGAGCCTTGGTTCCCCTCCCAGGGCGGTGACGAGGCCCTTGGCTGAGAGTTTGGCCAAGTCCTCAGCGAGCACTGTGATCTTTGCACTGAGGCTTTCTTGCCGTGGAGCTGGAAAAAAAAAACACTCCATGAATTCAGCCTTACTGAGAAAGAAAAGAGCTGGTGAAAAGCTGCTGTTTGTGCCTGGTTCGGTTTTGGAACGGGTCACGGGGATCCTAAAATCAGCAAATCGGGGAAGTTGCTGCCAAAAGCCCTAGTGCTGTTTACAAAACCAACTCTATCATCCCTGCCCCAAGCGTTTTCCCGGCGTTCAGCCTCCCGAGCCTCCCGGTGATCCCTGTGCAGCCCCAGCCAGGCTTCCAGGGCTTGCAGGGTCCTCCTGGGATGGGAACAGCTTCCAATTCACAGGCTGTTTGCTGACATGTGAATTCTTTTTTTTTTTAACTCGAGGCTGTGTCTGCTGCTGTCTACTTTTAGGCTAAAATACCTCCTTGGAAGTGGTGTGGTTTTGGAGCCCACACAAGTTGAGTCTCCTTTAATTAAACACCTTGCTAAGCTGCTGTCAGACAACTAAAGCTCTTACCAACTTCACGTAGGTCTGGCTCTAAGGCTTAAGGCTGCTTTGCTTTTCTTTTTCGTTGCAGATTTTCATAAATAATGAGTGGCATGATGCAGTCAGTAAGAAGACTTTCCCGACTATCAATCCAGCAACAGGAGAAGTCATCTGCCAGGTTGCTGAGGGTGATAAGGTGAGTGTTCCTGCGATGAGATGGGTTTGTTCTCCACACGAGCAGGTACACGGGGATCGCAGGGGAAGACACTGACTCATCTCTCACCGAGTGCTGTGTTTGTGGTAGGAAGTGTCTGACCTGTACAAATACCACGTTGAGTGCTGCTCGTGTCCTTCCTCCACTACTGCTTTCAACAAAACCCCTCTGGCTTTGCTTCTTACCAGTAGGAAGCTGGGACTGGCAAGGGTGGAGAGGAGGAGATGTGGGGAGGCTGGGGAGCAGCCGTGGGTGGAGGTTGCTGGGGCAGGTGGGGATGAAGGCAGACACCTTTGTGGTCGCCCGTGGGTGCTGTGCTGCTGGTGTGACCCAGAGTCAGGGTAGCAGAAGAGACAAAAGGTCAGGATTCACCTGGAGAGCCCCTGTCTGCTGTACATGTGGTGGGAGACTGTCCCCAGCTCTAGAAAATTGAAAAAGGGAAAAGAGAGAGCGATGGTGGGGAATAGAGTCACATAATCATCCCGTGCCTTATGCAAGGTCCTCCTAGGAGTCTGTGGCCGAGCTGAGGTGGTGTTTCCCAGCAATTTTGGGTTCTTCCTACAGTCTGGAAACTTGTCTGTATTCCCCAAGGGAGGGGTGAGTGAGGGAAACCCTTTGTTGTTTGCTTGTCCGTGGCAGACTGGCTTGTCCTGGCGAGACCATTACAGCAAGCCAGAACAGAGAACCAACTAGAAACAAGTTAATGCCCTGACAGGACAGGATGATGGATTAGAGATATTTGATCGTGGAAAAAAAAACCTCCTTTAGACTGTGGTGGTGAAACCAAATCCTGAAAGATTGTCAAAAGCACGTTTCTGGGAGCTTTTTCCATGCCTTGTTCGAGGATGCAAATATTAACCCAGCAGATGACATTGCAGAAATAACTAGACAATATTTGCACTCTGAGGAGCTGAAATAAGAGCGTAAGCACAGGCGGAGGTGGTGGCTGCCCGGCTGTTGCACCCATCTGTTTCACTGTCCCCTCTGTCCCCTCCTCCCCGTGGATGCAGATTGGGCGAGAAGCCTGCAGCAAGTCCAGCAAGTTCTTGTCCCCCCTCTCCAAAAAGCTGCACTTGTGCCATCTGGCTGGAGGCTGTTGTCTCTTGGGAGACCAGGGAGGGCTTCAGCTGAGTTTTGAGAGAGTTGAGGGGGGAACTGCTTACTCCTTTCTCATCCTCTTGCCTGGATCCCTCTGCAGGCAGATGTGGACAAGGCCGTTAAGGCAGCCAAGGCAGCTTTCCAGCTGGGCTCTCCTTGGAGGAGGATGGATGCTTCTCATCGGGGGAAGCTGCTGAATCGTCTCGCTGACCTGATCGAGAGGGACCGGGCTTACCTGGCGGTAAGGATGGGGGAGTAGTTTTGGGAAGCTGAAAGCAAAAAGGCCAACGTGCAGAACCAATTGCAAGCTGAATATCGAATCTAAATCTGCCTGGTTTTCCCCACCTCGCTCTTCAGGCAACCTCATTGTCTTTTGCAGGCTCTGGAGACTCTGGATAATGGGAAACCGTACTCCATCTCCTACCTGGTGGATCTGGACATGGTAGTCAAATGTCTCAGGTAGGTTTGGAGGCTACAGTGACAGCACAGGAGCTCTTTGCACTCCATGCTTGTGCTCAGCTGGTGGTGGTTGAACCTCTGCTCGTGCAGAGACCACATGCTTCTGAGGAGGAAAGCAAGTAGCTGGAGGAAGTCTCTCTTATTTCCTTCTGACGGGAGAGTTGTAATTTTCAGTTCAGTGACCGAAACTTTATTGTTGCTAGATACTTTGCAGGCTGGTCGGATAAATTCCATGGCAAAACCATCCCATTAGATGGAGACTTCTTCTGTTACACCAGACACGAGCCGACCATCCCGTTAGATGGAGACTTCTTCTGTTACACAAGACACGAGCCAGTGGGAGTTTGTGGACAGATAATCCCAGTAAGTAAATCCCAGTAAGTAAGTAGTTCCTGCAACATTGCAAGAAGTCAGTGTTACCATGGAGAGCTGTCTTAAAATGCAAGTTACTATCTGTTGCTAACTTCTGCTTCCTCCAGTGGTAGAGAATGTTATGCTTGCGCCAGTGGGGAGGGCTGTTACTTTGGCAGTAGAGAACTATCTGTTGATTTCATAAGCTCTGAGAAAGATCTACTTCCTATCTGCTAAAAAAAAAGTAATAAAAATTGAAACCCCTTTATAGGAGTTATCTGGCTCGGACCCACAATTAGGTTTAAATTACTAGCATCAAACTCAGAAATTCTGTTTGATAAGGAAATAGAGAACTAGTGTGCAAAATTCAGCTTTACATACCCGATCTTACTTCTGTAACTGGTAGCAAGCCTAGCAAGGTGGTTTGTCAACAGCAAAGCCAGATTTGCACAATGGTCCCTGGATAGTGTTACCCTTTGTAGGAGTAGGTGCATTCTGATTGCTGCAGGCTGTATTTGCATGGTTCTCGTATTTGCATTGAGCAAGAACTGAATGTAAATGCCTCACCAGCCTGCACTGCCCTGTCATCACAAACAGGCTTTCTTTCAAAATGCCTCAAAAGAGGGTTTAACAGTAAAGATTAATTAAAAAGCCCCAAAAGTTAGGGTTTTGCAGTGGTACTGAGAAACCTCACACTTCAGAGCACAGTTTTCCTGGACAAACAGAAGGCAGTGCTTGAAAAGGAGACAAATGTTGAAGAGCAGCGAGGGAAGGATCAAAGGTGGCTTCCATTGGTGCTGCAGCTGATCCCGATGAAGCTCACTGGTTACTTACTGATTAATTGGGAACTTTCAAGTTCAGACCAGCAAAAGCCTCCTTTTTTTTCAGTGGAACTTCCCTCTGTTGATGCAAGCCTGGAAACTTGGGCCTGCCCTGGCTACCGGGAACGTGGTTGTGATGAAGGTGGCGGAGCAAACTCCCCTGAGCGCTCTCTACGTGGCTAATCTGATCAAAGAGGTGAGGAGAAGGGCTGGGCTTCCTTCTGCTGCCCCACCATTGCTGCTGGAGCATGGTGTGATGCAGCCAAACTGGTGAGCTGCTGCAGAGGGCATGTGACAGGAACAGAGAAGGGCTGCCTCATCTGAAGAAAGGCTGGACTGTCTTGGGTATCTTAGCATTCCATTTAGCCAAAAAAAAACCAACCCACCCTTGTCCGTAAAAATTCATATGCAGAGGACATAAATCTTGATTGGGGGAGGGCTCTCTAAGATTCAGTTAAATAACAAACTTCATGGAGATTAGAAAGGTAATATATATAGCTCAAACTATGCTTAGGATGTGGGGCAGGGAGTTGTCCTGATTCTTGCAAACTGAACATTAAAACTAAAGGCCTAGGAAAGTAAAGTGAAGTAGAAAAGGTTCTGTTCTTCGTGGGAGGCCTCCTGAAGCATTACTAACAGATGAGGGTAGGTGAAATCCCTGATTTATAAAGGGAATAGCGTTGTTCTCTCCTGGTGTGAACGGGCAGGCTGGATTCCCACCAGGCGTGGTGAACATCATCCCTGGCTACGGGCCCACCGCAGGGGCTGCCATCTCTTCCCACATGGACGTAGATAAAGTGGCCTTCACCGGCTCCACGGAGGTAAGGCAGTACTTTAACTTTTAAGCCCTTAAGATATAGAGACTATCTCATTGCTCTTAATACCCTTTCAGTGTAACGTACTGGAGGTACCTTGCCTTCTACACTTCTTTTTTAAAAATACAGCTGACTTCAGGGCGTGATACTTATTTTTGCTTTACATAAGACTCTTCTCAGGTGCCTTCTTTAGAACACCTCCTGTTGTTTTCCTTGAGCTGCTTCTTACTAGAGGTGAAACTCTAGGCAGACTTCAGTTGTTCCCTTAAAACCCTACAATTAAGGGATTATTATTAAACTGCTGACTGAGACCTAAATGCAGCCGCCTTGCCAGGTGCTGCTGTTTGTAGGAGTTAACTCCTAATACCTGTGTTTCTCACCATCCAGGTTGGGCATCTGATCCAGAAGGCTGCAGCAGAGAGTAACCTAAAGAGGGTGACACTGGAGCTCGGAGGAAAGAGTCCCAATATAATCATGTCTGATGCAGACAGTAAGCACCCGCTACCGTAATATTTGATATTGATCTGTACCTGATCTGATATTACTATTGGTCTGTACCTTTTACGCTGGCTTCCTGCAAGCAGAGCTGGAGGGGAAAGGAAACCTCTCCTGTGTCCTGTGAGTCTCCAGCTCTGACACCAGCTGGCTGTTCTCACCCGGTGAAGTCTCTGTGCCTCCAGCTGTAGCTGCTGTATTTGTGTATCAGCACTTCTTCACTCCCACTTCTTTCTCAGGGCTGGGAAGTTCAGTTATCAACAAAGGAGAGTTGTTTCAGTATTTTTGCTCAGTCTTGGTCCCATTTTAGTTTTCATTTCTATCTCTTAGAGCGTACTGCCCTATTCTAGTCTTATGAAGTTCTGGTTCCCTCACCTCTTGTATATAGACTCATTTTTGGTCTTGTTGAGCCAACACACATGCTTTTACGTGGCAGTAACTAAGGAAATTCTTCTAGATCTAAAATAACTTGTCCTTAATACCTGGTAATTTTGAACTAGAACTCTGCCTCAGATTAGATTTTTTTTTTTGTCTCCAGTATGGGGTGCTTTAATAGACCCTCACACTAGTTAAATCTGGATGTAACTTCCACCCTCCCAAAGCATGGAAGATGCCACTCAACTGAAAGGGCTTTGTATCCCTGATACTCCAGCAGGCTGCTGGATACTTGTTCAAAAGAAGTCACTTACTGACTCTGGTTGGTTTCGTTTGCTTATGGGTTTTCTCTCCTCTCCTCAATCTTAGTGGACTGGGCTGTGGATCAGGCCCACTTTGCCCTCTTCTTCAACCAAGGGCAGTGCTGCTGTGCTGGATCCCGAACATATGTCCAGGAAGATGTATATCATGAGTTTGTGGAGAGGAGTGTTGAGAAGGCCAAGGCCAGGGTGGTTGGAAACCCATTTGACTTTAAAACAGAACAGGGGCCTCAGGTAAGAGCAGGAAATGTCCTTAACTTATCTTGTGAAATAGTCCCAATCTTCAGTCATTGTGCATCAGGAGATTAGAATGAAAGGTATCCTTTGGTCTCTTGATTAATCTCCTTTGAACTGTGCCAATTATCTCCTTGCTCGTGCAGGAGGGAGAAGTTAATTAACTGATCTGATTATTCCAAACCCTCCACTTGACACTGGCATTTAAAAGTTATCCTCTCCCTTTGAAGCCAGCTTGGCAGCCTGATGAAATGGGGAATTGCTGGAGCACAGTCACATGCACAGCAGGTTGTAGCCCAATCTTCTTTTTACCCCCAGTCAAGGTGAAACTGATCTCTCTGTCTTCATGGTTCTTAGGTTGATGAAGAGCAGTTTAAGAAGATCCTTGGTTATATTAGCACTGGGAAGCGTGAAGGAGCCAAACTGCTGTGTGGTGGCAACCCTGCTGCGGACAGAGGCTACTTCATCCAGCCAACTGTCTTTGGCGACGTGCAGGACAACATGACGATTGCCAGAGAGGAGGTAAGACCTGCAGCGCCTTTCTGGCTGCCAGCTTCTTGCTTCTTCACCCTTTTGCCCCTTCTACACAGATTCTCACCTGCTGTGTTTGGATTTTGCAGATATTTGGGCCGGTCATGCAGATTCTGAAATTCAAAACCATTGAGGAAGTCATTGAGAGAGCAAATGACTCCAAGTACGGCCTAGCAGCAGCAGTCTTTACAAAGGACCTTGACAAGGCAAACTATGTGTCACAGAGCCTGCGAGCCGGAACAGTCTGGTGAGCCTCGGCCCTTCCTTCTCCCTAAGTGGCTGGAAGCTTCCTTAAGGGCTGCCATTTCTCGTTAAGTTTGCTCTTTGCTAGCCTGTCTCTACTTTGGATCCAATTTTACTTGTACTTCCCTGCATGGAATGTCGGACCTCCAATTGTCACGCTGGTAAAATTTAGGTATATTAAGCTTCCTGTGCTCCCGCTGTGAATTAATGAATGGAATTGGGTGGGAGGGAAGAAATCCAGCCCTGCAGCTGACAGTGAGAGCAACTGCTGCTGCAGGGCTCTGGGTGCCAGCAGTGATTAGATCACCCAGCACGTCCCTGCGGTCTTGGCTGCTGCCGTGGATGTTCCTCTGCGTTCTGAGGCCGCGCTGAAGATGATGCCAAAGTCAGTACTTCAGCAGCAGTTTACTGTTCCAGCACAAGAGATTTTGGAGATCCAATATCTCACTCTCTTTAGTAGTACTAAGTGAACAAGTAGGTGTTTTTTGTCCTCTGAAGGAGGTGTGGGTGGCAGCCTGGAGGCTTGGTCCTGTGATAATGAGAGTCGTGAACCGATTTCACGATGTTCTGTTTCCTGGTTGATGAGGATAAGGTTTTGGTATTGATTAATTCTGTTGGCTGAGAGAACTGACAAATAGGGAAATGCTGCCTAGAAATTCACCCGTCCCTTTGCTGTGAAAGGGCTCTTCCATTAAGCAGTTCTGAAACTACAGGTGCTTAATTCTTTGTTTCCATTTCAGGGTAAACTGCTATGATGTGTTTGGTGCACAAGCCCCGTTTGGTGGCTACAAAGCCTCTGGGAATGGGCGAGAGCTGGGAGAGTATGGTCTGGAGGCATATGTGGAGGTGAAAAATGTGAGTATCCCTGTATCCAAGGTCTTCCAAACCCTCTGCCATAGCTCCAAACTGTATTTGTGCCTGTTGGTATAGGTTGGGCTGAGAGCTGTAATTCTTCTTTCTAATGCTTGAAACAAAGTTGGAGCTGCACTTCTGAAGTAACCGCAAACACAACTCCATGTAACTGTATTTAAAACAGAAAACTGTCCTTGCTTTATACTGCTGAGGAAAATGAGGATATGTGACCAAATAGATTAGCAGTTGCCTGCACGGCTTGGTGCTGTTCAGCTGTTCCTCACTGTAAAGAATCACAAAATCATAGAATGGTTTTGGGTTGGAAGGAACCTTAAAGACCATCCAGTGCCACCCCCTGCCCTGGGCAGGGACACTTCCCACCAGACCAGGTTGCTCCAAGCCCCCTCCAACCTGGCCTTGAACCCCTCCAGGGATGGGGCAGCCACAGCTTCTCTGGGCAGCCTGGGCCAGGCTCTCACCACCCTCCACAGCAAAGAATTTCTTTCTAGTTGTGTTGCCTCTTGGCCTTCAAGTGAATATAACTGAACACCGTCTTCAGGAAAATAACTTGTGATTTTTCTTTCTTTCTTTTTTCTTTTCTAGGTGACAATCAAAATTCCACAGAAAAACTCCTAAAGGGCAGCAGCCTCTCCGTGTGTTTGGAGACACCTATGCAGCTTCGTGAGATACAGAGCAAGGAAACCTCTTCTTAACACGCACAAACCTTAGGTGGAAAACACTTAACTCTGCGTTAAGAAATGTTTCTTTAGAAGGTTACCTGAAGGAGCTTTTGTTTAAAAACCATTACTTGGCTTTATCTTTCTAAAATACCAAATACAGTTGAGTACTAATGCGTTACACGGGTGTATTCCTGTTGCATCTCTTTTTTCCAAGAAATTGTTTAAATGCTTGTCTGGTCTGGAGGAGGTTTTATAATAACTTTTTGTTGGCTTACACAGCTAGTTCTATACTCCTTGCCCTATACACCTAACCCATACGTCCCTCTTCTGTAGGTAAATCAAGAGCAACCCTTCAGCGTGAATCTGTGAGGTACAAATTTGTTCTCTGCTCCTCCTGTTGTATCTATTCCCAATAAACATTCTTGTCTTAGTGAGGTTAACCCTGCCTTCGATGGAGCAGTTTGTGTCAGGGAGCTGAGCAGGACCTCAAGAGGAAAGGGCCTTGAGTTTCACTAGGAGAGGTTTAGGATGGATATTAGGAAAAATTTCTACACCAGAAGGGTCATCAAGCATTGAAAGAGGCTGCCCAGGGCGGTGGTGGAGCCACCATCCCTGGAGGGGTTTAACAGGCGGGCAGAGGTAGGGCTGAGGGACGTGGTTTGTCAGGGTTGGGCTTATGGTTGGACTCCATGATCTGAAAGGACAGTTCTCTCATTCTACATTGGTATTTTCTTCCATACATCAGTTACCCCCAGCCTCAAGCTATTTTTAAGGTTTTAGCAGACTTTTTGCGAAATGTTAATGGAAGGAGGCCTTAACGTTGAAGGCATCTGGTGCCTGTCCCCAGCACAGCACGCACAAGTGCCGACCTCACCAGGATGGATATTAGGAAAAATTTCTACACCAGAAGGGTCATCAAGCATTGAAAGAGGCTGCCCAGGGCGGTGGTGGAGCCACCATCCCTGGAGGGGTTTAACAGGCGGGCAGAGGTAGGGCTGAGGGACGTGGTTTGTCAGGGTTGGGCTTATGGTTGGACTCCATGATCTGAAAGGACAGTTCTCTCATTCTACATTGGTATTTTCTTCCATACATCAGTTACCCCCAGCCTCAAGCTATTTTTAAGGTTTTAGCAGACTTTTTGCGAAATGTTAATGGAAGGAGGCCTTAACGTTGAAGGCATCTGGTGCCTGTCCCCAGCACAGCACGCACAAGTGCCGACCTCACCAGAACAATAGAGGCGCTGGGCGGGGGGGGGATCGGTGCCTCGGTGAGGGTGTTGGGGCTGCGGCAGGAGACTATTCTATCCCGTAATCGTTAGAGCGAGCCCTACGCTGGAGGGCAGGCGCCCATGAGGAGGAGACAAGCTCGTGGAGGGCACAAAGCGAAGGAGGAGAGAGGTTTCTCCCTCAGCGGGCACCGGCGTCCACCTCCCTTCAGCGCGGCGCGCGACAGATCTCGCCCCGAAATCTCGCGATGTTTCGCCTTCCCTCCCCGCCCCCAGATCTCGCGATGCTTCGCTCGGCCCCGCCCCGTCTCGCCGCGCTCCCGGCAGGGGGCGGGGCCGGAACGCGCCCCTTCGCCCCGCCCCCTGAATGACGTTACGTCATCATAAGGTACCCGCCGGCTCAAAGGCCCCTTGGGGGCCTTGATGAAGGCGTCGCGTTTTTAGGGCTGTCGGCCGCCGCCTGTAAACCGCGCTCCTGCCGTGGCGGAGGCTCCTAAAATTCCCTGGTGCGCGCGGAGGGGAGGCGGAGGGTACGGGTCAGCCTTCCGTGTGGGTACACGGCAGGGGCGGTAGGGTCGTGGCGGGCCGCGCCGCCCGGCGGGTGTGCCCGGCTCAGGGTGCCGGCAATGCCTGGCTCCCGGGCGGCGGCGGCGCCTCGGCGGCGGCGTCTCCCGGGCTGAGCGGCGGCTCCCGGCCCGTCCGCTCCCTCCCCGCGGCGCTCCCCCGTCTCCCTGCGGGGTCCCGACCCTCCATCTCCCCCCCCGCGGCCCGGCCGGGCGGGGATGAGACGGTGCGGCGGTGGCACAAAGGCTCCTCCGGGGTTGCCCGTCGCCTAGCGCGGCCCAGCGCCCCCGGGCCGGCCCCGCCGCCGCCCCCGGCGCCTCCCTCCCTTCTGCCTCGCTGGCCCTCGGTCCCCGCTGCCCCTCGCTGGGGACGGGCCAGCGGCTCCTGCTCCCCCCTCAGCCGCCCGTAGCCCCGCGGGAGGATGTCGGAGGATCCCGAGACGGACAAGATGATCAAGGTAGGCAGGAGGCAGCGGGTCCCTTGCCCGGTGAGGGGAGGTGGGCAGTCCGGGCAGGGCGTCCCGGCTCGGCGGGGCCTGGTCCCCCCCTTCTCAGGCTCCACCTCCCTTCAGCGCGGCGCGCGACAGATCTCGCCCCGAAATCTCGCGATGTTTCGCCTTCCCTCCCCGCCCCCAGATCTCGCGATGCTTCGCTCGGCCCCGCCCCGTCTCGCCGCGCTCCCGGCAGGGGGCGGGGCCGGAACGCGCCCCTTCGCCCCGCCCCCTGAATGACGTTACGTCATCATAAGGTCCCCGCCGGCTCAAAGGCCCCTTGGGGGCCTTGATGAAGGCGTCGCGTTTTTAGGGCTGTCGGCCGCCGCCTGTAAACCGCGCTCCTGCCGTGGCGGAGGCTCCTAAAATTCCCTGGTGCGCGCGGAGGGGAGGCGGAGGGTACGGGTCAGCCTTCCGTGTGGGTACACGGCAGGGGCGGTAGGGTCGTGGCGGGCCGCGCCGCCCGGCGGGTGTGCCCGGCTCAGGGTGCCGGCAATGCCTGGCTCCCGGGCGGCGGCGGCGCCTCGGCGGCGGCGTCTCCCGGGCTGAGCGGCGGCTCCCGGCCCGCCCGC